AATGATTCAGAGCCACAGCGCCGTCAAATAAATGACACATGAACGGTCATATCTGTTTGCCTTGCTCTGAGCAGATAGCAGTAGGACTATGCGTCTGCTTTAGTGGAAAAAAATGGACAACCTGATGCGTTAAACGCAGCTCTGTATGAAGAATAATAACGAAAAAAAAACAACGCACTCACTCCCAGCCTCACAAGGGTGCTTTCAATAGCGCGTGTGCCCATGTTTAGCCTCACAGCACTAACAAACCCACTCAGCTGAAATGACCACAGCCTCAGCATCCTTTTGCAGGGTTGTGTGTGAAAACGCACGCATGTGCTTTTTTTCCTCTAACGCATAATGGAGGAGTAAAATATGCTCTCGCAAATGGCACTTCATTTGGGTTCAAGAGATGCTTTGCTGAGCGCGGTTGTTTACGACTATGTGTGCGTAACAGCCGGGAGGATGGATGGGGGGGTTGAAGAGAGATGAAGCGGACGACAGACGCTGACTGCTGCCCTGAGCAACTACTGACAGGTGCAATGTGTTCTCCTCTCAGGCTTTTTTGTTTTTTTCAGCATGACTTCATTCAAAAAAGAAAAAAAGAAAGAAAAGAAGCTTTCTTCCCTTCATTTAATACAAAACATATTCGTATGAATGACTGCTCGCTGTACATTAACATAAAACTTTCTGGCTTGTTTCTCAAACCCACTGAATTATCTTTGACATCGAGCCGTAGCTACGTCCGTGATATAGCGCGGTGCATATTTATTATTTCTCGGGGATCTTGGCACAAACAGAAGATTGCTTCCTTTGAACTGATAGAGAAGACTCTATGTATCACTCATGCAACCCTTGTGTGTTCGTAAGGGAGCGGCCCTGTGGAAACGAGAAGCCCTCGACTCGCCGTGGACATGCGGCCGCCGTGGTTGAATGACCGCGGTTCAACTGGCTGCACACATCAGGACCGAGCTCGCTCTGGGACGACAAAAAGGACACAGATGAGAACGGAGGTCCGGAGTTCAGTGGCTTGCATCAGATCCGATCCTCCCTCTAATACGCGAGTCGTAGGCTACTAGGGCCGTTATACAAGTGATTTCCATTCTCGTGTGAACGTTTGAGCACAGGACAGGGATATGATTAGTGACATCCCGTGAATATTGTGCAAATCCCTTTATGAGGGCGCGTGCGTGTGCGGGAATGTGTTGATGTGAGTTGGAGAGAACGAGAGCCAGAGGAAAAAGCAATGACTGCACACCGCATCAATCTCCATTGCCTGGTTCCGTCTCCTCAAGAGTACGTATTTGTCAAAGCGTACATAGAGCCCGACTCTACACAGCTTCAGTTTCGTCTTCAAGGATGATTGTTCTGACATAAAGCTCCTCGTCTCAAAAAAACAAAACGCAATTAACCTTCTCTTAACGGGTGCAAGGTGATGGAGAACTTTTTCGTTTTGAACTTGGTGCTCAAAAAGAGAATCACTAAATTAAAAGTGATGCTTGTGGTGAAAGGGTCATTTGCAGTTTTGAAGGTAAATGAATCGTAAAATAGTGAGGGAAACGTTTATTTCCCTACACAGCCTCAAAGCATTTTTATCCTTTGATAATTTTACACTACATAATGATAGCATCATTTGTTCTTTTTTTTTTTTTTTTTCTTCTTAATGAGCGCTGGAGGCAAAAAAGAAAAAGAAATCACCCAACACATTACCAGAGTGGAATGCATAAAAATCCCCCAAATAATAACTAATTACTTTCAGTACACGGATGTGAAGTAATAACTATATTAATTTGGCTTGGGGACCACACATGTCAGGGCAGGCCATTGTTATTTCTGATGAGTGGACAGCAGGTCTTTGCTAATGGCGAAGCTGGCCCCTTACTTTCATCATGAGACCACACCATTAACTGTCCTTTTTAACCGTTACATTTGTTGGCCACTTTCCAAAGAGCCAATTAATCGGCCTCTTTTGTTAGGTTGAGTTACCTGGCAAGATAGGATCCTTTATGAAATACGTTCAAGTGAGGCGTAATGGGGGTCCTATTCAGGGATTTGGCAAGAGACTGGCCTGTTATAATTGGAGCCATGTGTCGGGCGGCCGTCCCACAAAAGACTGCTGGGTGAAAGGAAGGACAGGTCTCTTCCTGTCAGCACCTTCAAAGAGACAACATGACGCAGGACACTTCTTGCTAATGGATCCTGTGACAGGCTGAATGTGGAGGCGGCTGTACTTCTCAGATAAAGGACGAGTCTCTGTGTTTAGAGGTACGAGTACATTAAGGTGTGCATAATTAGTTCTAGAACTGCAACTAATAAATATTTAATGATTCATTAATTGATTAGTTTTTGGGATTGAAGAATGCCCTTCACCATTTCCGAGAGAGCAAAGTAACATCTTAAAACGGCTCAACTAACCCAAACATATCAAATTTACAATGACAGCTAGCGTTATCAATCCTCACATGTAACTCTCCCCAAGAAAGCTAAATTGGCAAAACAAATGTAAACTATTCCTTTCAAGATGATTAATTATCAGAATTGTTGTCTACTGACTTCTCAATTCAGCAATGAATTCGTTGGCGTTTCCTTTTCTTTGGATGTCTCTGCTGTAACATATACAGACGCTTGCAGGGCGACACACCTGCAATAATACTCAATCGAAGGAAACTGACACAGCTCTCTTCTTCCATTCGGTGGCTCTGTGTCTCATAGCAAAACATTATCAACGCTCAAATGCCCAAAATGTCTCTAAGCGATGTCCGGGCCCCGTTTCCTGGCGCAATCGGATGTTTGTGACAGCGTAGCAGAGAGAGAAAATTGCATATTATTTACCCAGCGCCTTCAATATGCCACTTTCCCACTCTATAGCCTGCAGCTTACAACTCACAGCACACGCACAGACACACAAACGTACAAAGACACACACATACGCGTGCGCTCAGATGAATGCAGACGTTCACAAACTTAGCTCAAGGCCTAAAGCTGAACCCCCACCCCCCCCCACGCCACCCCTCCCCTCGCCTGAGTTTTTCAGCAGTGCTGTGACATTCTGCCCTGACATGTCATTAAAAAGTGTCACAGGTTTCTGGGGGAGTGATTTCCGCTGCTCTCTGCCTCCAAACGGAGAGCGGGGACGGAGGCAAGGGAGGGTGGGAATGATGAGCTGGTGCTGGACCGTGCGTGTAAACTCGGCCCCTCATAACGTTCTCCCGTGGCATAATGGAAGCAGCCCATTCTCTCTCTCTGCTCTCCTCCTCGCCGAGGCTTGCTGTTTGTTTTTTCGGTCACACATGGGCAAGAGATTTGAGCCTGACCGAGAGCTCAATCACATCTCCCCTGCCTGGATGTCATGGCTGTGCGCAGAGGCACAAACTGTTGGATGTCAGATCAGAACACGGGGCTCTCTTTCCATTCCCCTTTCTTCATTTCCCACCATCTCTTTCTTTTTTCTCAATCACTCCTCGCCTGTTTCTGTCTTTCTCTCGCTCTGCTTCTTTCTCTCACTCCATCTCTCTTTCCCACCACTCCTTCTCTTCTCCCTCTCTCTTCGGAGACGGGGTGACCCGGCTGTCGCGTCTCAGCGCGGCAGGTTTGTTCAGACAACCGGGAAAAATGTTCCATTTCTTCTTTTTTTCTTTTACTTCATCTGAGTAAGTCACCTCTGCACCTCTCCATTAGAGTGTGAGATTGCTGGAGTCTGCTGGACTGGCTGGAGGTTTGCGATGCAGATGACAGGGGTCGTATGTTCTCCTAAAAACTGGGCATCAGCCTTGTTGTGTCTCCTTGTGAATTCGCACTACCTCCGAGTCAAATTTCCCATCAGTCACCCCACACATTCCAATTTCAGTGGATTTATTAGTCTCCGTGTCATGAAAACTCATTCCATACACTCTGTCGTTTATATTTCTATCTTAGCACCTATATGAACAACTAACGAGCATCGCCAGCTGCTTTCAATGGCTTGTCCTTATGCTTAGTGTTGCACACATTCATCTAAAACCCTTCGCTGCAAAACCCCTGATAGACCTGATGGATTTCCCCATAATCTCAGAATGCTATATATCAGAAGATAAATGCTAAATGTTTAATCCCAAAGGTAAAAAGAAAAATCAAATATTGACGTATGGGCCTCATAAAAGTGGATGCCAATAAAGTAGCATTGATTGGAGAGGTGTTAACCGAGTGATCCAGCTGATATAAGGCAGTTCCCCCTCGTGCTGGTGGATGAGAAGACATTACTCCGAATGAATGACTCCTCCAGTGATGGATCGGTGTAATTTATCTGATAATAATCTCACCTCAATTTTTTAAACAGCTATAAAATACTTAAAAATCATCACCTTTTAAATTCATGGTTTTGTGACTGAATCCATAAAAATCCCATGACGAGGTTTTTACCCGCTGGATGGATATCCGTCTGCAGTGCAGACCATTTACCTTTTCGGGAATGAGGGCTGAGGCTCTGACCTCGAGGCCACGTTTATTCAAATTTGACCCGCTGTACCACAGGGTCAAAAGCTTTGATTATGATTAACAGCCTCCAGGAATACATCACGCACCTGTTAGGCGTACGGAAAAAGGGATCGCGACTGTCTGTGTTGTTGTTGTTTTTTCCCCACACAGTACAATGTCTCATGAACAAATGAAGTGTAACTAAGAATAGAGCACATTCTGAGGGCGAAGCACTCCTGGGATTATGAACAACTGCTGTGTTAGGCTGCATCTGAAGCGCACAGTTGATGAACACCACCGAGGGAGAACGAGGAGTCACTCGGCTGGTTTCTCACGCTGTGTACCTCTCCGAGCAGACAGGGATGGTCGACGGAACGAGCGCACCAATGCGGCTCCGCGGACGCACGGTATCTGTACCCCTCAGCGGTGACGAGGGTTTTTTATCTCGCTTCTTTGTCTCATGGTACACATACCATGTGTACTCATTTTGGTTAAGTACACTGTGGTGTCAGAGCGGAGACACACGCTTCACAAACACACTCATCAGCTCTCTTTTTGTATTTTATTACCTGCACTCTGGAGTTGGGGTCCTGTTTGATCCACTTGATGACCGTCTCGTAGACCAGCTCCTCAGCTTTGGTGTTGAGGCTGTCGTTGGACAGGTAGGCCACCAGATCCTCCTTGGACACACTCAAAATCTCTTCCTGTCCTGCCACCTGAAGAGTTATGAGATAAACTAGTTAAAATAGTACATTCATGTTCTTTCACGCCTCATAAAGGGTTCTTGGTGAATAGCTGTATCCAGCGTCGCAGTTGAAGGTTAACTCGACTATTTGGCCATTTTGTTCTTGGATGGCGAATGAAAAATACTGCTGTGGCATCAGAGATGAAGCTGAGGGCAGCGAAGCAACATATTTTCAAACCCTCAAGTACAGCAGAGACATTCTCTATCCTATGTGATTCTGTGTGGTTCCCCCACTTCTTAAGCTGCAAGAGAGCAGAGAGCTATTTCAATTCCTATTGTGCTTCAGGTTATTGAACAGCAGTAAAGTATAACAGTCTAATGATCTTATATCCTCTGTGGACAAAAAGCTACAAAAAAGGTTGAAACTGTCAAATATTAATTTATTGATTGCTAGAGGTATTAACTTAATTATGGTCAGTTTTAATTTGATTTTATTGCAGTTTGCTGTTGTATTTGCCTTTATTCTGTCTGATCTAGCGTGCAACTCCTACAGGAATCAATGAATGGACTAACGGGAAAGATGTTAAATCTCTACCCACCTCAGGGAAGTTCTGCAGTGCAAAAGCTTTAGCCATGTTATGGAGTTCGGTGCAAGTCATGGCTTCAGCCATGGCCAGCACTCCCAGACAGTTAGCTGCAGTCAACTGTTTCTCTGGAGTCGATAAACAAGGTCAGAGAGATGCGGAGGCGAGGAGGCCGACAGAGAAACATAAACAAGAAACAAACAAAGACACGGGCAGCTTGATTAAGACATAGAAAGAAAAAAAGAAAAACATCATTCAGACATCCATAAAAAGATCACAGACGTAGAGAGCAGAAACAGAAAGAGCCAGTAGCACCGACTCTCAGCCTATCAGAGTGTATATCTGCCTGAGACCAAGGGAGAACAAGTGCAATAACTCAAAACAGCTCCGGGGACAAACAACGAGGGAAATCGATCGCTCACAACCCGGGCAAGAGGTGTTGGATGGCAGAGAGCGGGGTTTGGGATTAGCTGGACCACTCAAAAGAAGTCCTGTCAGATCTCAGAGTCTACTACACACACGGGCCGGCGATATATGAAACCGCCCTCACAGCCAGGCCAGCGGGGGAGAAGGCTTATGCTACCGTCTGTGATCTCCTGTGAGGGTGCAGCATTTTAAGTGGCGTATCTGTAATTCTAGTTTTCTAACACATACCGCCATTTATCACAAGAGAGGGAAGAGTGTTGGCAGTGTGGCGCACAACACGGGCGGGCAAGCGTGTGGATCAACTGGGTCAGTGGCAACGGAGAGAGGCCTGATTAAACAGCCATCAGAGGGAAGCGACGCCCGGCCTTATCACTGAATACAGAGTCTCAGAGTCTTTCCTAAACAAACATCAGCCAACAAAGGTCGCCTAACATCTGCTAACTCACAATTAAACAAAAGCCAAACCAAAGACCAAATAAAAGGGGGCTTCACGCTGCATCAAAGTGGGGGCTAGGGGGCTAAATAAAAGGCTGTTTGAAAAGGACTCTGATTTGTGATTTCAGCAGATGAGGTGCTATTTCACTCGTATGCTCAAATACTCAGAACATTGAGTAAACCTAGACTATGTGTCGCATCGAAGTTTGCAACAAAATGGCCCCGCAAAATCAGTTAGAGTTGAGACAATTTGAAAACCCCTCCCATTGTGGCCGATGTATTAATAACAGTTGAAATTTGGAGCATGTTGCGAATTCACTTTAATTCTTCGGAGAACAAAAGAGCAGCGATTTCTGGCAGAGCAGCAGGCAAACAATGAGTGACTTCGTTTTTTTTTTTATTTGCTCGAATCTGAAGTTCTGTGAATAAAAGTCAGAGTGTTATAAGTAGGTCGTGGAGATGCTGTTTCTCCTCGGTGTATTCGTTACACACTTCAATAATATCTGACACAGTATCAATTTCTCTTTGCTCAAGGACACACGCTTGCGCCTGTATTTTTTCCCCTTTCTAATGTGCTGAAATGCCATGAATCTTGTCGAGGAAGAATGGATTGACGTCTCGCTGGCACTGAAGTCTACAAATGGCTTCCCTGTTCCCCCTCCTCTCTTTTTCCCAAATGGAGAAAAACAAATCAATAACGTGGGCTGCTGCTTCTCTTTTACTTTCTTTTCACTCCTTTCCCTCCGCTGACCTTTCTGCTAACATGCACTTCCCCCTGGTTTTACCCATACTCAAAACAATTTATTAAATGGAATGCAAAGGCTGACATTTGCAGCTTTTTGGTTGGTTACCTGCTAAAATCTGGAACATGCCATTTGCGTTTCATGTGACCCCTTCGGGGCTCCCGGCAGCACCTCCCCTCCACTGCTCCACGTTTCATACCTTGTCTAAGTATCAATCTGTTTTACTATTTTTTTTTTTTTCCGATATCCTCTCATGGTTCAGGCCAGAGGATTTGACATTTACAGTAAGTGACAATTGTTCCCTGACCTTTTTATAAATCTGGCCCCGTGCTTGGTCTTGCCCACTGGGACAAGATCAGAGGCACCGTGCCCAACTGAGAGCGTTAGCAGGCAGAATTCTCACACGGCTGCTCGCGTTGGAAACATGATAAAGAGGAGCGTGATGTGCCAGAGTCAGGGAGGAGATGCAGGTTCTGCACAAGGCAGTCTTGTGCATAGGGATGAAGCATGACAACGAATGAAAATACACAAAAAGGTAGACGCTGCAAGTAGCAGGAAAGGTCGGATCTGATGTAATAAGCATGCACACACACACACACACACACACACAACCCCCCTCCTGTTCTCTGAGCTATTCCTACCTAGGAAGGAGACACAGACTTTACAGAAAGTGTTGAACTGGAACTTGTTGGCGGCCTCCAGCAGCGTCTTGGCGTTGGCCGAGTCGATGACCAGCGATCCCGTGTAGACGAACTCGAGCAGCAGCTCCAGCACGTCGGCGCTGATGTTGCTCATCTTCAGCTCCAGCGTCTCACTGCTCCTCGTCTCCCCCGATGACCTGATCAACCAATCACGGCAGAGAGAGGCGAGTTAGGGATACTCTGAGAGGAAAAGCGGAGTGGTGGAGGAAAAAAAACAAAAACAAAAACAAAAAGAGGATAGGGACACAGATACGCGTATGCTACACACAACACCCAAAACACACCTGGGCCAGTACGAGAGTGGGGAGAAAATAAGAGAATCATTACACAATAACATAACGTGAAGTGGAAAAGGGACAGAAACAGAACTTTGGATGGTTTTTACTTTTCTATGGGGCTAGCAGCTCTACAACTATATTGCTGCATCTGAAACAAAACGTCCTCTCTGAACAAAGATTAGGCAAACAAAAGTTATTGCTTTGTTTCTCAACAGGCATGCTTATCACATGTGTTTTCATGTATGCATAGTTTTTAGGGAGTGGACATGCATACATGGCAGGGTACATATGAGCCGATCAGACGGAAAAACAGAGAGAAAGAAAGTGACAGCACAGCTGATACACGGAGGCAGGACAGAATGTAAAGTGTGCTGGTTATAACACGGTGCCCCCGGAGAGCCCTCGCTGTTCGTGAGCCTACAGTACGTCACGGCCGCGTGCGTGCTGGGTATCAAAAGCAAAGTATCCACTCCTACTGGCATGGCGTAAGAAGTGCCAGGGAGTGCATGGGTGGGCAAATTAAATAGAATATGATATCCCTTTCGTAATGCAGAGCCTGAGATGTGCGAGGAGTGGAGAGCTGCTTTCAGAGCCAGGCCACGTTGTGACTTCACCAGGATCAAATGGCAGAGATTAGTTCACATGCAGGATCCCCCCCGGAGAGGTATGAGAGCGTTAAATAACAGCTCGCCTCCCATGTTTAATGTCCCATGTGAAACAATAATCCACTCAAGGGCAAAATAAATGGAATCAAAGCCCTGCAGAACGCATGCCCCCACTACTATGTCTCTCTTCCTGCGGCTATGGGCATCAACAATATGAAAAGTAGCCCACATTAAGATGGATGGAAGCTCTTTGCTCCTGTCACTCATGGTAGCTCAGCGATAACGCTCTGTCTGTTTCTCAGTGTGTGTGTGTGTGAGTGTGTGTGTGTGTGTGTGTGTGTCTTTTTCTTTTCTGTTGGGAGCCAGTGTTGTTGGACTGAAAAAGTCACGACAAACAGTCAGCATTTAGTGAGACACGGACAGCAAAACAAACAAGATGAGACAGGTAGACATCATGGTTAGAGTGAAGATGAGAGGTTGTCGTGGGGGGGACGATGAGGAGGAAGCAAAAGGAAGGGAGGCAGGGCGAGACGGTCCTTCCACAGGGAGCCAGCAGCCATCCTTCTGAGGGAGGGGTTGGGTTGTTCCATGACTGTGCCTTGGTCTTTTAAATAAGAGATATCCCCGCCCACCCCCGAAAAAAAACCACCATCACACCTAAACAGAGCCTTTGTCTCCGCTGCAATAATCATCAGTAGCCTGTAGTGTATGAACTGAGACATTAGTCGTCATGTAAAGCGTACTCAGGAGGTGAGAGGGGGAGAAGGACATCCAAAAATAAAATAAAAGACAATGGCATTTGTCTCTGGATGGACATTGGCTGGAAAAACCAAGGCAGTTACTCTTTTTCCTCCTGCAAAGCAAAAAGCCACATAGTGTTATTGCCCTTTTTCCGCACAAAGCCCTGCAGTGGGGGCAGGTAGTAAGACAGAAAGAAGGGAAGGGGAGTGTCGTTCAGGGTTAAAGTGATGGAGGGAGTTGGGAAGAAAAGAGGGGTAAGGGGGGGGGGGGCTAAAAATAAAAGAGGAGCATGCTCATCAACCTGCTCAATTAGTGCAATGGGAATCCGCTCGAGTGGCAGTTTGTTTTTGTCTGAGCACTTATGTTATGGAAATGACTTTTCCGGAGCTTCTAAAACGAGGTGGATATTTATGCCACGTCTGATTGCGGACTTGAATTTAAATAGTGAAAGCGGGAGGCAGGGAGGACAGGAGAGACAGAGGAGGAGAGATAAAAAAAAAGGCGAAAAAAAAAAGATGGGCACACTCAGGCAAAGAAATTTGTTTATGAAAAACGCACCGCTTATTCAGGAGGAAGTCTTAAAATCAGCAGAGACTGTCAAAACGGTGGTGAGCAGAGGCAGAGAGGAAGGAGGGGAGCTGCTTGCACACGCACACACACACACACACACACACACACACACACACACACACACTCTCTTTCTAATACATCCTTCAACCTAAAAAAACCCCTCATTTTACACAGAATACATTTAGCTTGGTCTTACAAGACCATCTATTCTGTGGAAGTACTTACAGTACCAAGATATGTCAAGATAGATGCTTATTCAAATGCAAAGCCTACACTGTCTGGGCTAAAAATGGCATCCATTTACATCCTATTTCACAACATAAATCAGGAATAAATTATAAAAATAAACAAAGATAATGCGGTAGCTCTATCAGTGTTGGGATTCCTGTTTTGCTTGTGTTTGCTTGTTTGTATTGAGGCCATGGTAATATAACAGCAGGTATGTTACGGTCGACTTTAAGGCTATCTGGTTGGAACAAGCCCTCCGAAGGACAAAAAGGACAGAGTGACAGAAAACGTCCATCCAGTGTGAATACAGGGGGGCCGTCAGCATGAGAGAAGAAATGCGCACTCATACAGCAAGTGACCCTTCGCTAAGCCCCGCCCTCTGCTGCTACCATGGAGCCCACACTGTCACTAACTGCACTCCCTGAAGAAATATTATCAGACAGAAGAGTCGACAATATGTGCTTGAAGGAAATATGCGGGAAGTCAAACTGAGTCAGCAGCAAAAACAGGTAAGTTCTGTAGGCAGTACTGTTGTATCAGGGTAGCAGAAATCACACAGACACAAGTATCTCAACATTTGGACAAAATAAAACCTCAAACCATAAGAATAGATAGATATCACTAGCGGTTCAATAGGTGAGAGAAATGTGGGTGAACTGGCCCTTTAAATACAGCTAGTCAGAACAATGTCGCTAATTGAAATTTGAGGGGAGTATTACAGTGTCCTTTCTACCCCTCGGGCTGACTGGAGCAGCAGAAGGGCTGCACTCAGGGCTCAGCTGCAGTGTTCACACAGCCACTGTAATGTGCTTTAACACAGCTCTCTACCCATCTCATAGTCATAACACTCTCAGACTCACAAGCATAGAGAAGTCATGGGTCGACAAGGGGGGGGGGGAGAGAAACAAATGGCATGGAAGCATGTGTCCCGACTGCTCAAAGAATCCGGAGCTTTTTACATTACCGTGGTGCAGGAGATGCAGTGGCCATAAATTAAATGCCTGCAGAGCACACTTATTGGAAAATCCTGAGGGGTAAAATGGAATTACCAGAGATGATCCGTCTCCTTGCTCTGTGCATCGGCCCTTTAAAGGGTAGGGTAATAGGTTTTTGGGTGGGGGCGAGGGCAGACGTGTGCGTACATTCTGGAGCGGCATTACATCCTTCAGGTATCATGGGAAAAGATGGCAGGTTAAATGCTCACGTACTGTACGGGGAGGCCTGAATACTTGAGGTGGGGGTGTGCAGTGGAGGAGCACACTGGAAAGAGGGAGCTTTTTGCTTGAAAACACCATTTTAAAATGTCTTCGGAGACTCACATCGAATGTGGAGATGAAGGAGAAACTCCCCGAAAGAACATTTCAGAATATTTTTAAGCAAATTTGTATAATTACTTTCCGAATCTACTCTGCTAAATTCCGGCTCTTTGTCAGTTAAGCTTCTAATTTCTTAAACGAGCCAGTTGCCTGGTGTTTGTGTGTGTGTGTATGTGTGTGTGTGGGCAGACATGGGAAAGTAAGTGCAATGTGCCCTCCCTCACCCTCCAGTATCACTTCTCTACTTTCTCTCTGACTAACGGCAGCCCGCTTGGATAACACACCAGAACTATGTCCTCGCATCCTACACGCACGCACACACTAAAGCATACATACAGTGAAACACGTGCACACTACAAGTACATTTGCACACGCACACATTTTCCTGTTTTTCAAGCCAATACTGTACACACGCACACACAGCGTGGTTGTTTATAGCGAGCTGACAGGGGGTCTGAATGCCTCCTGAATGAGATGGGCGGGGGGAGGAAGGGAGGGAGGGTGCTCGGGGTACAGAGCATATAAAGAGATAAAGTCTCTCTCTCTCATTTGACCTCATAAAGATCTGGACAGTAGCGAGCCACGTGGTGAAGCCTCAGCATAATTCCAGCAGCGTTGAAAAAGTGACCTGAGCTGCGCACGGGAGGCCGTAACTCAATGCCTGTTGGCTCTCTTTGCTCCTCTCCGACCGGCTGCAAACGCCTCGCAGCTACGAGCAAAATGGTCTCCTCCTCTCCCTCCACTCAATGTCTCCTGGTCTCACTTTTCATTAATTTATTTGTGCTCCCTTTTATGTCCTTCTCTTGTCAACTTTTCACTGCTGTCCTCTTCTCACGCGGCTCTCATTTCCATAAAGTCAAGGTGCCACATGCCAGCAGCGGTCCTTGTTGACACCGTCAACAAGGACCGCTTAGCATAAACGCTGACGGCCCTGACTGCATTCCATCAAACCAAAGACGTCTTCCAAATTCAGAATTAGTCTAACAAAGTCATTAGACATTCTAGCGTGAAGTCAAATGAGAAGATTTCTATTTTAGACGTAATCTCCTGAAAAACAACCGTGTTATGACAATAAATCAAAGTACTTTTACAATGAATTAACTAATTAATGAGAATTTGCTCTATTAAACTGTCAAATTGAACAAGAACCGTCAATGGAGGCAACAGCGGACACGGGGATGAGCTTGATGAAATTCAGCCCGCTCCTCCGGGAGCCCCGGTGTCTTTCAGGGGCCCCTCGTCTATACGCATAAATGATCTGGCTTTGTCCCGGATAAGAGGAGACAGACGAAACAATCTGATAGACAGTTCGTCCAGCATGGGGGCTTCAGTTCTTTGCAAAGTCACTTTCGTCTCTCAGGAAGCTTCTCTGCTATTGTCAAGGTTAAAGGAAAACTCAGTTTAATTCATGGGGTGTCTACGAGTGTAGCCGTCGTGGAGATGAGTGGCCCTAGTACAGACGAGTCTCTGTGGCTTCTCTACCTCTGTTCTCTCTCTGGTCTGCCTCACTCCACCTCCCATTCAGGGGGAACAAGTGTATCTGTGGCGAGCGAGGAGGCTGCGGCGGCTGATAAGCAGCTCTCTGCTCTCTGATGAGCTCGCGGTGGAGGCGGCATGGCTGTGGGGCAAAGTGGCAAACTTCCCTGAGGCATTCCAGCGACCGCCGTGCGTGTCTTCCCGTTAGTCTTTGCTCTTCGCGCTCGCCACTTCATCCCAAGCCATGAAAGCGAGAACAAACACACACACCCCACCACACACACACACACACACACAAACAACACCAAGGCGGCAAAACAAATTTGGGTCCAGGGGACTCTCAATCAAGCCGAAAACACCTGCAAGGATTTGAAGTAAGGATGAGGACATTAGGGAATCATGGTGTTCTCTCCCCGGAAAAACAAGGCAGATGAAAAGAGACATACGTGCGCTATAAGTCTTGACTGAGTCATACACACGCGTGTGTGCACACATCTGGAGACACTAAAAAGGTCTGTAGCTGACACACACACACACACACACACACACACACACACACACACACACACACACACACACACACACACACTAGTATGCAGACAGGCACCCACGAAAACAAAACATCCCGTAAAGACAAAAAAATATGGAGTATGAAGGGCAGAATACTAGGGGAATACTTAGATCCACATCAAATGAATACATTAGTAAAAGGTGGTGTTAACCTGTGAAAGTGTTGGTTCAGTAAGCTGTCTCAGATGTGCTTTTGTTTTGTCCTTTGCTTATGACTCTGAAATGTCCTTTTTATTACTCTAACCAAGCGTTATTAGCATATGAAAAGGCTGTTTTTGCAGCATAAACTCAAGAATTAGCAACAGAAATATATGGTAGCTTGGGAGACAAAAATCCCTCTGCCTACAGAAGACAGAGTGGCTTTGGCAAATTACCACCCAAAGTGTAGAATGTACGATTCTTTTGTTTTGGCCCTTTGGTGAGTTTTATAACATCCCCAGTCATGGAACATTTTCACTGCTCATTAAAATGGAAATGTGGTTAAATTGCCCTACATGGGGAGGAAAGGTAATGACGAGGGTTGACCTTTTTCCTCTCCAAGTTTCAGATACATTCATTTGAGCGGGAAGAGGAAGGAATGGCTGCTGGCCCTGTGTTAGGAACCAAAGTCTTCACACACCTGCAAGAGAGAGAGGGGAAGGGAAAGAAAAAAAAAAAAGAAAAAGCGACACAAATGCGCCCTATGAAAAGAACAGATTGGATCAACAGCTGGTGGGAGGGAGAAGCGAAGGCAAACCTTTTCACCAGGTCCTTGAAATACAAGCTGCAGGAAGCTAGAACATTTTGGTGGACTTCAAACTCTTTGCCTTCAACAATAATTTTCAGGTCTGTAAACTCTTTCGCTCTGCGCTGTTGGTTCAACTCCTTCAACATCTCTGTAGAACAAGAAAAAGAAACAGACAACGCCACATGTGGGTTTAGTACTTCCTCTCTTCCACACATACATGAGCAACAATAGCATGGCATCGAGAAACAGGACAAAAATGCTGAAAAGTGCAGATTGGAGAACACAATATTGCTGCTCTTAAGAAACAACGTTCATCGTATGACAGAGAAGAAGTGACATGTACAGACTTGATTAAACATTTCAGCAAAGACATAATGAGATGTGTATATTAAATATGTAGCAGAGAAGGGTGCATGTAAAGAAAGGACATAATTACATCTTATTTTCTGTTACTGTGCAGAGGAATATGCAATATCCAAAAAGCATGCTAGTGGAAAACATAGAACTTGGAATGAGATTAATAAACTAGGCTTTTTGTGAGAAAGACACTTATTAAGCTGTATTTGACTTCTGTAAATGTACAGCGCTAGAACTTCAATGAAGGGAAGCTGAATGAGATTAAAAAGCGTCTCAGAGAGATGTATGCTGAAAACAGAGACACTGTCAATGCATTATTCATATTGAAATAAAATTCTTTGGCTTCTCACAAGTGCCCTACTCGGCGAAGAGTTGACCTTCAAATGTCGCTCAATGAGAAAACAACTGCTTATCCCCAAATCCCAACACCCACCTCTCTCTCCCTCTCTCCCTCTTAGAAAAATACCCCCCTCCCACCCTCTGGAAAAACAAAAAGATAGGAAAAACAGGGACAAAACGCAATCTGTGAAAACATGCTTGGAGCAAACCAATGTGCCGTTGAAGGCCAAAGTACACAGCGAGTTGCTTAATGTAGTGTAGTAGCACCGTGTTCGGCCTGGCCTTGCTGTAGCGTGGGGTCGGGGGGGCCCTTGTTTCTCCAGGTCTTAATGAGGCACCATGAGGGGATGCTGAGAGTGAAAATCAGCGGGGGACGAGCAACATATTCCACGGCCTTAGGAGGGATAACCAACAGTGCAGCTTTGTTAATCTCCAATCGAGAATTCCAACAAAAGAAAACACTAAGAGATTCAAATAAAGCGCTACAGACACGATAGGGTGGGACATTATGATTATAGAGGCAGCCGGCTTCCATACTGTCGTCTTAGCATTAACAAAGCATTTCGTCGAGGCTGCAGGCTGTGAGGCAGAATAAACATCCATTTGGCACAAAGCGCAGTCTGCGTTGTGTAAAGGCACACATTCCATGCTGGGGAAAGATAAACGGTAGCCACTGTACGAGATGCATAATGATTTAGGTGAGAAAGGTGGCAAATCCTCCTTTTGATCAGCAGATTTACTTTTTTATGAAACTCGTCTGAACGCTATTCAGCGACTCATTCGTTGTCGGTGATGTGTAACAAGCAAGGTGTGCGCGTGGGTGGGTGGGTGAATATGCGCTTTACACGGCGGCCGAGCCATTAAATGTGGGAAGCTGATCAGACACGCGATTGTATTGGCGACACCCGAGCTGAAATAAAGGAGTTTGTCTTTATCATCCTGAAAGAGGTCTGTGTTCGCGCCAGACTCAAAGCAGGGATTTAATTAACCTGGGATGACACTTGCCCCTCTATTTGGCTGGAATATCCACTCATTTAGCTCCTTCCATTCTCCTGACTGACACTGGGGGCTCAGCTCGGAATTAATTCAGCAGCTGAAATTATACAGCATAAAGACACATGAGAAATAAGGTGCAATTCAGAAGCGAGCTCTGGTAAAAGCTTTTTCTCGGAGCGGCGCATCCTTCAGAGTTATCGCATCATGGAATTAATGGCCAGAAAGAAAATGACCTGCTGAATACCAATCAGGGAGGAGAAATAATAAAAGATGCCTTTTTTTTTTATTTTTAGCAATATGTCTGCTCTACATTGGCTAGATGCACAGCCACACGGTTCGAGTGAGCCACACACAATCAAACACAAAGGCTGGCATTGGCCTTGTCTTCCATCCATCTCTCTCCACATTCCACTCCACTGCTGCTTGTCAGTTGGCCAGCTATCTGATTACTGTGTGGGGCATGGACTGTGAATAGAGAATACACAGTAGTTTTGAGTTTGCATTAGTAAATCTCCAGCGACCGATATGGCTCTCACCTCCAATCAGCCACACCGCATACCATCCATTTGCCCCGAGAATAGAGAGCGGTAGACAGAGAACTCCACTTGTCAGCAAACAATGGCCGCCTCCCTCGGAGCCGTGCAGACACACCTGAATGCCTGATGGAAAAGCTAATTATGGCTTCTTGGGGGTGGGTCGCTGAGCGCCCCCGGAAAACAACTCATCACCACCGTGGACCATGAAACTGCACATGGCGTCCCCATTCTCGGGTTTGGAATGGAGCGTGGGGAGGCAGAGCCCTGTTCAATGGGACAACGGCGGCTTTGAAACACCAAACGTCTCAATACTGTTATGGGAAAAATCTCTTGAGGACCGTCAAGTTCTGCAACAGACGGATAAAACCGTGGTGAGGTTTCTTTTTTTTGGGGGGAAGTATACAGAAATACTCTTTGGGGTATACTGTGCAACAGTCCTAGAGTATATCATGGACTGCAAACATTGATGAAATGTGCGGGGGTAGTTTCTTGCCCCTAAGCTGTTCACAACAATAACAACACCCCGTGCTGGCTCTTCATGATTGGTCGACACACGGCACAGGGGGTAAGAAACCAGTGGCAACTCTGCTGCTCAGCCTAGTAACTCTACCGTCAAACATCTCCGAGCGCTGTGGCCAATGGGGCCCCCGGATGGGATTTCCAGTAACCTATCAGCGCGCACCAGGTCTCCCCTGCTGTAAGGTGCCGTAAGTTGCTCACCGAGCTGTGATAGGCTGCTGTAAAAGGGCGACGCAGCGCGCCATTGGTTGCTGAACTTGGAGCCATTTTGGGGTTTCTACATGTATGGTGCAAGCGCCTCTGTAGACCCACCATTTTGTGTTGGCATAAAATCTAAACTTTGAGATACATCTTCATCACCTCATAATATTTTCTGTCTTAGAAAGTTATTTCCCCTCGCTAGAAAAGCGTCTAAAATGGTTCATACTATAAATATCATTTTCTGACAACAAACTGGAATCAGTTTTTAGATATTTCGCTCTTAAATTGAATCATTTGTATCATCGTAATGCATCTCTCTAAAAATGTTAGTATTCTTTATAAATAATGTGGAAGAAATGTATGTATATATATCTATATATATATATATATATATATATATACATATATATATATATACACACACACACACTGTAAAAATGTGTGTTCTTTCTCAGAGAAAGTAAAAGAAGATGAAATATTAGAGATAAATGATAAGTAATCTTGTAATCAATTTAAGAAATATTTATCTGATCACTTCTGGTCACTTTCTACTCTTGCTGATACATCTCGTCTTTCTACAACACAAGAAAACATAACCGTCCACATATCTTTATCCAATCGGATGACATTCTACATTGCGCAGCAGAAAGGGCACCGACGTGTTCACCCTGACCTTTTTTTTTCTCTTTTAAACTTTTAACAATCAATTTCCACCGACACCCGCGGCTTAATTACCCAGAACAAACCACGCTAGCTGATCAATAACTCAATGTGCAGCTCTGACATGATGGCTTTTCTTCAGCTCGGAAGGACACGACAGTGAAGCACATTTTGTGACTGAAGCAGCGAGCGATCGTTTCCCCACACCACATCGGGACATGAAATGAAACTACTCGTTATCTTCAAAGCCTTCAGATGATCAAGCTGTAAAGCAGCTCTTTCACTCATATTTTCTGAAAATGTCTTGTGCTCTATAGGAGCAAAAAAAGAATCCTTCGAAAATAATTAAATTACTTAAATTTGATTTGAGTTATTCAACTGATTATTGTTGAGTGATACATGCCGTGTCTGTGTTTAAATGAAATCTATTATTAACCCATTCACATCAAGTATTCAACAAAAAATATGAATTAAATACATCCAACGTACAAATGAATGTATTAATGTATTTTATTTAATGTTAAGTAATGACACCCTGATTAAAGTAATCAAAAAAAGTAATACTTGACAAACTAGTTGTTTTTAAATGTCCCAATTTCTTTCAGCAATATGTTTAACTGACATTTGTTTTAAAATAATCTCGTTAAAATGTACCATTTACGTGATCGTCACTATAATTACTTTTAGTTAAATTTGGTTAAATAAGCTTACATTTTGCAAGATAGAATGAAACACATTTGTGCTCGTTTCAAAGCAGCAGAAGCAGTCGAGCTGCAGGACTGAAGAAGACTGGTCTGAGGGAGTCTGATCAAAATAGGCTTCCTCCTACAAAAGCCTTTCCATAAGTAGCGGACCTTTGAGGAATTCCATGTCGAAAAACGAACTTGCAACAGAATAAGAAGAGCGGTCAGAAAGCATGATTCGTACTAAATGCTCACAAAAGATTTCTTTCCAGGCAAAAAGCTTTCACAGTATTTCCCCAAAAACCCTGCGAAGAACAAAGGGCCTGGAACCCCACAATGTCAGGAGGATTTACTGTGGTGCTCTATTAATACAACAGAATCAGGATGAATGAATGATGTATTAATTATGGTTTGGCTTGTTTTGGACTCAGAATCTAACATGTAAGAGTAGATGTGAGCAGCACACTGATGGATGTTTCCCCCTGCTGACTTTGACAAGGCAAACACTTTAAATGGTTTCTCAGTTTCTGACTGCACACATTAAATACACCCACATGCAGCTTTCAGCAGGCGGAGAGATGGTCAGAAGTTCAATATCAGCACAAGTTGTTGGATAACATAATCTCTCTATTCGGCAACCTCGGGTCCAAAATATAACTGCCAAAACAAAGCTGTGATTCAGCTCTGATGCCGAGAAGAACGCCTTGACCGACTCATTGAAAGATCTTTTAGATTTGTTCTTTCACGATACAGCTAAACCGTATTTTAAATCAAGTCCCCAGATCTAGTTTAAACTAATTATATAAAATATTTAGGGAGGATTTTGTGAGTGAGTTTGCTAAAAGAGCAAAAGTCAA